TTAAGAGATCGTCTTGGTACTTGCAAGAACGCCAATGAAATGTTTCGTGTGTTCTCCAAGTTCAACGCATTATTTGTTAGACCAAAGGTGTGTATTTTTTCTTTCTTTCTTTCTTTTTTCTGTTCTTAATAATATTCCCGGTTTTTGTTTAAATGGATATTACTATTTTATGAATCCCTTAGATTCGCGGTGCTATTCAAGAGTACCAAACGCAACTTATCGAATCTGTCAAAGATGATATTGCTAAGCTTCAAGAAAAGTTCACCAAGCAATATCTCAATTCAGAGGCTAATCACATGTCTCAGCTTCGCGATCTTCCAGCTGTTTCTGGAACTATGATCTGGGCTCGTCAGATTGAGCGTCAATTGCAGACTTACATGAAGCGTGTTGAGGACGTTCTTGGCAAAGGTTGGGAGAAATATGCCGAGGGCCAAAAACTACAAACCGAAAGTAACAACTTTAAAAGGAAATTGGATACCAGACCTGTGAGTGAATTTTAACATTGTGCTTCTTTCTTTTTTTTTGTTATGTATGTTTGAGCGATGATGTTTATTTTAAATTTTCAACCATATCTTAGATTTTTGAAGCTTGGCACAAGGCATTTACCGAACGTCGTGACCTTAATATATCCGGCAGATTATTTGAGATCACAAAGAACCGTGCTCAAGGAAATATTCTTCAATTGGGCGTGAATTTCGACCCTCAAATCATCACCCTGTTCAAAGAAGTACGCAACCTGTTGTGGTTAAATCACCCGGTTCCACATGCTATTAGCAGCCTCGCAAAGGTCGCCAAACGTGTGTATCCCTTCGCCGTCAGTCTCATGGAAACGGTAAGAACTTATGCGCAGACTGTACAAAAAGTCAAGAAACATCCAGACATAATAATGCTCGTGGCCAGTTATCGTAATGATGTACAAACGATGATCGCAAAAGGAATTAATTATGAATGGAGATACTTCGTAGAAACATATGACCGTAATTTTCGCCCCAACATGCATATCCCGGGCGGCACGTTAGATCCGCCTGAAAACAAGCATGACAAGTTCGTGAGAGACTTTGCCAACAGTGTATCTAATTTTCAAGATAAGATAGATGCGTTGATCAATAGTTACGAGGACATCACCCGACACATCGAGGACTTGAAGACCTGTGCATACAAGAAGGACAAATTCAGATCAAATTTAGATAAAATTCAGAAATTGGCAAGTATTTTTTTATCGATATTTTTTAATGTGGTTTGACGAACCATTAAGTATTCACACATTTCGTAACAACCCATGATACTTTTTTTTTTACATTTAGATTGACCGTCTGAATTTCGAGGCTTATTCAAATCTTAATGTTTGGGTTTCGCAACTTGATAAACGTGTTGAGGAGATTTTGGCCCGTCGTTTGCAACACGCCATCTCTTCGTGGACCGTCGAATTTCTGGCATCTGGCGATGAGTCGACGAATGCTGGGGAGGTTCGGGAAGCGGTTTCGGTCACTGGAAAACGTATCAATCCGAAACGGAAAAGTGCAAGGAGAGATTCGATTGATGGCGATAGGCCGACGATTGTCAAATCAGAGAAACCTATCCTCGAGGTCTCCGTCCATGAAGTCCGAATCCATAATCAAGTAATCTGTTTGGACCCACCAATTGAAGAATCTCGGACAAAGTGGTATAATCAATTACACAAATGGCTTTGTGAGTAATCAGTGTATGTACTTTTTTACTGCGCTCGAAATACTAAATAATGTAGTAAATAGTTG